TAGTAGAGATGGGGTTTTACCGTGTTAGCCAGGATGGTCTCGATCTCCTGACCTCGTGTCCGCCCGTCTCAGCCTCCCAAGTGCTGGGATTACAGGCTTGAGCCACCGCGCCCGGCCCTGTTTTTTGTGTTTTTGAGATGAAGTCTTGCTCTGTCGCCCAGGCTGTAGTGCAGTGGCGTGATCTCGGCTCACTGCAACCTCTGCCTCCTGGGTTCAAATGATCCTCCTGCCTCAGCCTCCTGAGTAGCTGGAATTACAGATGTGTGCCACCACGCCCAGCTAGGTTTTGTATTTCTAGTGGAGATGGGGTTTTGCCATGTTGGCCAGGCTGGTCTTGAACTCCTGACCTCAAGTGATCCACCCGCCTTGGCCTCCCAAAGTGCTGGGATTACAGGCATGAACCACCATGCCCAGTCCAAATTCCTAGTTGTTTTGAGGTATTAAGAAATATCTGGCCAGGTGTGGTGGCTCACACCTGTAACTCCAGCTACTAGGAGGTTGAGACACAAGAATCGCTTAAACCCGGGAGGTGGAGGTTGCAGTGAGCCGAGATTCTGCCACTGCACTCCAGCGACACTCTGTCTAAAAAAAAAAAAAAAAATACTGGGCGCGGTGGCTCACGCCTATAATCCCAGCACTTTGGGAGGCTGAGGCAGGCGGATCACGAGGTCAGGAGTTCAGGACCAGCCTGGCCAACATAGTGAAACCCTGTCTCTATTAGAAATACAAAAAATTAGCTGGGGCGGGCGTGGTGGCGGGCGCCTGTAATCTTAGCTACTCAGGAGGCTGAGGCAGGAGAATCACTTGAACCCAGGAGGCGGAGATTGCAGTGAGCCGAGATTGTGCCACTGCACACCAGCCCCTGCGACAGTGTGAGACTCTGTCAAAAAAAAGAAAAAAAAAAGAAAGATCTACAGGCCAGGTGCAGTGGTTCACGCCTGTAATAACTACACTTTTGGAGGCAGAGGCAGGAGGATTGCTTGAGTCCAGGAGTTTGAGAACAGCCTGGGCAACATAAGTGAGATTTTGTCTCTACTAAAAATAAAAAATAAAAACTAGGCGGGCATGGTGGCATGAGCCTCTAGTCCCAGCTACTTGGGAGGCTGAGGCAGGATGATCTCTTGAGCCCAGAAGTTCAAGACCAGACTGGGCAACATAGTGACACCCTGTCTCTATAAAACATAAAATTAGCCGGGCATGGTGGCATGCATCTGTAGTCTCAGCTACTCAGGAAAAGCACTTGAGCCCAAGAGGTCTAGGCTTCAGTAAGCTAGGATCATGCTGCCACTATACTCCAGCCTGGACAACAGGGCAGGACCCTGTCTTAAAAAAAAAAAAAAAAAGTGGGAGGAGAGGTATGGGGGTACCTCACACCAACGTTAGGAAACACAAGGCTAGATTTTTTGTCTTGGAGACAGGGTCTCACTCTGTTATCCAGGCTGGAGTGCAGTGGCACAATTCACTGGAGTCATCTCACTCGTAGCCGCAATCTCCTGGTCTCAAACGATCCTCCTGCCTCAGCTTCCAGGGAAGTTGGGATTACAGGACAGTGCTACCATACCTGGCTATTTTTTAAAAAATTATTATTTTTAGTAGAGACATAGTGTCTCTATGTAGCCCAGGCTGGTCTCTGACTCCTGAGCTCAGGCAATTCTCCTGCCTTGGCCTCCCAAAGTATTGGAATTATAGACATGAACCAATATACCAACCCTGCCACTTTTTTTAAGGCTGGCAGTTTCTTGGAGTCCCTGCATGAGGGTATTTGCACTTTTACAATCAGGTCACCGGGTGCGGTGGCTCACGCCTGTAATCCCAGCACTTTGGGAGGCCAAGGCAGGTGGATCACGAGGTCAGGAGATCAAGACCATCCCGGCTAACACGGTGAAACCCCGTCTCTACTAAAAATACAAAAAATTAGCCGGCGCCGTGGCGGGCGCCTGTAGTCCCAGCTACTCAGGAGGCTGAGGCAGGAGAATGGCGTGAACCCGGGAGG